ATGTGTCTCCCTATGTCTCACAGTGCCCCCATGTGTCTCAGCATCCCCATGTCTCATTGTCCCATTGTTTCCCAGTGTCCCAGAGTGTTTCAGTGTCCCCACATCTCCCAGTGTCCCCTAGTGTCTCAGTGTCCCCATGTCTCCCAGCTGCCTTTCCCACCATCCTTCACATACCTGAGCTGTAGTCTGTCTCTGCAGGCTGGGAGCTGCTGTCTGGACTCTCTGTGCTGTGTAGCTGCTCCCCCGCGGATCAGTGAGTAGAGAGAGGCAGGGAGATGCTGTAACTTCCTATCCCTACCTCTCTCCATACACAGTGACCCCTACTGGCTGGTGCTGGTATTGCAGAGTAATCTCTGTTTATACTGAGAAAAATATTTGCATTTATATTGCCGGTATTACTGCAATACCGTCATGGCCAGGCAGCCTCAAATACTGGCTGTGCCTTAAAATACCAGTCAGGTAGCAAACCTAAGAGTAGTGTGTAAAAAAAAAAAATAAAATAAAAAAATTTTTTTGTTTTTTTTCATGGACCTATTCCATGGGCCTGGGCCTTGAGCTGCAGCTCCATCAGCCCCTATGTTAATCCGGCCCTGGACACACACACTGTGAAACACAAACACAAACAAACACTAATAGGTAATAATGGTCATGAATTCAAAGTGTAATAAAAGTGAATTTAAAATATATGCCAAACTAGCTGAACTAGAAGAAATTTCAGACTAATTTGAGTATAAAATTTGTAATTCACTTTGAATTCCTACCAGTAGTGAATAACCTTTTATATTTGTATTCCTACTGGATTTGTCATTAGTGAATATGAAATCTGCAAATACAGTTGAAATTCTGTTATTTTAAAGGGACACCTTAGTCAACCAGACCACTTCATCTCAGTGAAGTAGTTTGGGTACAGTGTCCCAGTCCTTTTAATCTTGCAACGTAAAAAACGGCAGTTTTTGTTTTTTGGAAACATTAATGTTTATAGTGCAGGGTTAAATACACCTCTTGGGGCTGTTACATTGACAGGAACTAGCGGTGCTTCCACAAGCCAACTAAAGCTTGGTCACCTGACACAGAATCCCATAGGAGAGCATTGAATACAATGTTTTCCTAAATGGAAGCTTGGATGTATGCCTATGAGGATAATGGGATTGGACCAACGTGGAGAAGCCCATGCATCCTCCATGAGAGGTGTAGAGGTGAGCAGCACAGAGGGAGCCTCCGTGCTGGGAAAAGGCAAATAAATCCTTTATTTAATTAATTTTTATGGCACATGGGGGACCAATAAAGAACTAGTTAGGAATACAGGTTTGTATTTGTAACGCTTTAGTGTTTATTTAAGGGAATCTTATCAATCTTAACCACATTTGGTCTTTAGAGGATAATCATGTAAACTCCAAGTACAAGTAGGCTGAACATTGAAATATTGAATAAAAAAAGAGTATTTATAAAAAAATGATTACTATATTGCGCAAGAGAAATTGATTGGCCTAATATTGTATCATAGTCATTCCTAAGGGAAATCCGTCCATTGCTTTGAAAATGCCCCAGCCATAACCTTCCCATTATGAAGCGATTGCATGCCTTGATTTCCATGTTACAGAGAACACTCCGGGGGTGGATCTTCCCCTCCCATCGCTCTCCCGAGAATATGTTTCTGCAACGGAACATAATAGACACACAAGGGCTTGTAACTGTCAGATTTTTCATATATCTGTGCAATAAATGAATAATGATTGCAGAAGCCAATTAGAGAATGTGTTGGGAAAGTCATTTCTTGATGTCTCATTCATGTACATTGCTGCTTCTTAGGAAATATATTTAACCCACTGAAAACATTGATTTCAATGTTTTATACACCCTACTTGCACTCAAAAGGTTAAACGAAAACAATGCTAGCAGACACCTATTCCTCATCTTTCGTATTTGTTTTCTTCTCCCAAGTCTCCTCCTTTATTAACACCGATCTCATTGTTCAGTCTTTTTTTCATCCTTTCACAATATGGCATTTCATTGAATTTTAATTTTCAGCATTATTTACCATACTCAGAATTGTGAAGATTTAACAAAGGGAACGGCACAATTTAGCCAAAATCAGTTGCTCCGCACTATCTGGTTTATTGAATAACCCAGTTAACCTGTATTCTATTTGGCTTAATCAAATAAAACAAAACACAATGCAAAAATTGTAAAAATCTAAAAAACTCCCATAATCATATAAAAATTGCAATGTGACATTTTAGTGGTTATGGTGCAAAAATCTGTGGGCGTTGTGTCTCTGATTTGTATCAAACCATGTTTGAGTGCTCTTACACATAGTGTAGCTCTCTTAGCACCTACAGCCCAGCCCATTAGCCTGTCCAACTTTAAATGGCAATGACAGGCACATAGCACCATGGGGGATTAGTCCACAGACCGGCCTAAAGTCTCTCTTTAAATCACAACCACTAAAAAGAGCAGTAATCTTTAAGGTGCCCCTTTAATTTATTTGGATATCTAGAGTATTCTATGAATATTCCACATTCAGCCAGGAAGCTTGGTCATTCCATGAGAGTTTCAGAATAATATAAAAATGCTGTGCTGCCTGCACATAGGAACGGAGTAGATTAGTTAGCTAACAGTGCAGACTCTTTGCTAGCTCAATGCTGTGTGTGTTTGTGCCTGGGCTGGTGGCCTGCATGCTCAATGTTCTCCAGGTACAGACTGGTTCACTGGGATGTTGCCTGGTGGATTGCAGTATCTGGTGCTGACCAGGCTGTCTGATGGGACCAGTTTTGTATGGTGTCTCTAGAACAGTTTACAAGGGACAGCAGGGTGAGAAGAGACAGTACTCATAAGATTCACAAGACATATTTTCTTGTCATTGGTGGCAATAACATCGTAGGAAACAGAGTCTGAATTTTCCATCTTTCTATGCAGGTCATACTAATGAAGATTGCGGGAGTGAATGCTGTCACCATCACACTCTAGCAGCCTCCTTGTATTTCACAAACCTATAGCTCACACTCTCTTAAAGGGCTACACTCCACTCTCACCTTTCAAATTCTGCTACTTCCAATGCTGTCGCTTGGCTGCTATCCCCCTCACGCTGCCCTTCCTACAGTATTTTGATACCCACCTCTTTCAGATTGTAGGTCTTACAAACAGTGTTCTTGTTAACTTATTGTTCTTGTTGCATTTTGTAACTGTCTCATTTATTGTTATATATAAATGATTACAATAATTACACACACACACACCATATTTTGCATGCTGCCTGAGTAGGTTCATCCACATAGAAATTTGCCCCAAGGCAATGTTTGACAGCTCTCCCTTGGCAAGAAGCCTCTGTAGATTCAATGTTTTGGCCAAGAAAACCTTATGATCAAGGCCTTTCTTGGATGAAACATTGTATATTTAGAGGCTCCCCGCCCTATTAAAAAAGAGTGATTAACTGCAACAGCGCCTCGTGTAGCCTGTTCTATCGATACTACATATTCCCAAAGAATTGTCATCTGTTGGGCCTATTTATCATTTTGTAGGCTCAACGTGACTAATAAAGGTTTGTAGATTAGGGAATTACTAAGAACATACAGAGTTAAACTATCACATCACAGAATGTCCTTCAGGTTATAAATCTTTAACGCTGTCTAAAAACACCTACAGTGTCTCAAATGAAAAATATGGTAATTCAGTCACATCACAAGGCTGTATCATGCTCGCAAATACTGGTACAGCCATGTGATCATTCCATAGTCCTAAATGTGCATAGTAAAAACTCTTGCTTATTAGCAATAGACTGCAAAGTATAATACAGGTCTAGAGAGACTAAACAGCAATTACTAATAATTATTATTGACAAGATCATAAATATTAAGAATAATCACAATATCAAACCAAAAATATTGCTGAAATAGTTCTTGATTACCCAATTTCAATGTATTCATAGTTGTTTTCTTATATTAAAATTTGATTTTATTATATTTTTTTCTGAGCAAAGTTCTTTTTTTTGTTTTGTTTGTGGTCACCTGAGCCATATCTAGCAGTGTTGTATTGTGTTGTGGAAATCTTTGCTATCTGGCTACTTGTATCATGCTATCGATAATTGTTTCTTCTGTAAGATTTATTATTACCAATACTGTATGTGGGTAACTATTGTTGTGAGAGTCGGGAAAGCCCATATCTAAAGCTATTTCAAAACTAACATTTGTTCAGGATCAGAGTTGTTGTCTAAATGGGCTTAAGGTTACTTGGTTTATTTTTTTTTAGATATCACTAGGGTTAATTCTTGCAATAGAAACATGTTCTGTCTGTCTTTTACCTTTGTTTGTTCTAAACTATTGCTTTAACGCCAAGATAAAATTTTATTTTTAACATTGTAAACTGTAAATACAGGTGATTAGAGGTGTAGACATACCAAGGTATAAAAGAAATTCCACACCTGTGTGCAAAAATGAAAAAATTCTCCAGTTAAAATGTGATTGCATACAAAAAATTGTGCTATCTTAATTTGTACTTACAGGGTTTTTCACTAACGTGAGAATTCAAAGTGAATTTCAGGGGCAATATAGTCAAACTGTCATCTATGTTTCCAGTGCAAATTCTTGCGTTGGTAAAATTATTGCACTTGAAGAATAATTAACTTTACTCTACAAGCTAATTCCGCTATGCTACCATTTTGGCAACTTTGATCTTCAATTTGAAATTCACTTTGAATTCTGTCTTTAGCGAATAACCCTGTTAGATTATGGGCTGCCTGGCTGCATAGAACAACAACTTCCATAGTACAACTACAACTACTTTCTACTGTGTTACAGTTGATATTACATTTATTTTGTCCTCCTCTAACCCCCTAAGTTGGACCAGCCATGAAATTTGTAAGGTCATAACAGTGTATGATCCTTAAGCAAAAACAGAAGCAGGGTGTAAAGTAACATTTGGGGTATGCACCCTTAACATCGCTGTTGTGCTACTACCTTCGTCCCCACTGCTGTTCATGGAAGCTGTGGATTGTTCCTCAGGAACTAATATTCAACTACACAACAGATGGTTGCCAGTTCTACAACTCCCTTTAGTACACCAATCATTCTTTATAATGGACCCTTAAAATTCCTGTAACCAGCCAAGCCTGTCTTTGTAATGTTCTAAATCATCCAGGTCATGAATGGGTCTTCCCAACCTCCAAGCTAGAGTTATTCTGAAGTCTAGACAACGATTGACCGGACACAATGGCATAGTGAACTTCTTGAATGTGGAAGTTTTGTGTTTTTAAAACTAAAACAAGGAAGTGGTCAGATTACACTGTCCATACTTAAAAGGCTAAATTGAACTTAACTATGTATTTTTTTTTTTTTATAAATTATATAGATAACACATTAAAAATAATATGCAAACATAATAATGTAAAAGATACTCACATTTGAAGTTAAGGCATTAGATGCAAACTCACAATATTTGTAGTGTCTGTAATGAGCGCTTAGCAAACCAGAGAGAGACTCAGCCAATCATGACCACTATATTTTCTATAGCATTGCTGAATTTATCCCATGAGCATGGAATTATGTGCATCACAAGAGTATTTTGGAGATGAGTTTAATTGTCAGTTTTCTACTGTGGGAAGGTAACAACTGATCTACAACTCCGAGAAACAATAGTCCCTGAATTCCAAATCAGATATATAATAGACAATTTAAGGATAATTCACAGAATAGTCCTGAATGTTTACATCAAATTGGTAGCAAACTGGGAAATATTAAGGAAATAGTAAAACAATGTAATAAATCAATAGGCATGTGCATGGGGAAAATTTTTGGTTCGGTTCGGCTCGGCATTCCAAAATTCTGGACTTTCGCAATTCGGGACTTCAACACTTCGGAACTTCGGCAACTTCGGAACTTCGGCAACTTCGGGACTTCTCTAGCAGTCGCTTAGTAGATAACTCCCTAATTCCCACGGTATTAGGGAGTTATCTACCAAAAGGCTGAAAGACCTAAATTGGTCTTTCAGCCAAATTTACTAATACTAAGTAAAACTTACTTAGTATTAGTAAATTTTGCCCCTACTCGCTATACCACGAGTAGGGGCATGTCTAGTAAACAGTGAGCAGCCATTTTTTAAAATAAAAAATACAAAAAAATAGGTCCCCTAAAGCCGTGGGTAGGGGCCTTAAATACTAATAAGGGGGGGACCTAATGTCCTCCCCCTGGCCCCTACCCTTGAGTGGTGGGTGGGGGCCCTAAATTGGAATAAGGGGGGGAACTAATGTCCTCCCCACTGGCCCCCACCCCTGACCGGCGGGTGGGGGCCCTAAATTGGAATAAGGGAGGGAACTAACGTCCTCCGGTGGGGGCCGGGGGGAAGGACAATAGGTCCCCCCATTGGTATTTAGGGCCCCCACCTGCAGCTCAGGGGTGGGGGCCAGGAGGCAGGACATTAGGTCCCCCCTTATTAGTATTTAGGTCCCCCACCCACCGCTCAGGGGTGGGGGACAGGGGGAGGACATTAGGCCCCCCCCTTATTATAATTTAGGGCCACCACCCACCGCTCAGGGGTGGGGGCCAGGTGGAGGACATTAGGTCCCCCCCTTATTAGTATTTAGGGCCCCCACCCACTGCTCAGGGGTTGGGGCCACGGGGGAGGACAATAGGTTCCCCCCTTATTCCAATTTAGGGCCCCCACCCACCGCTCAGGGGTGGGGGCCAGGGGGGAGGACATTAGGTCCCCCCCCTTATTACTATTTAGTGCCCGCACCCACCGCTCAGGGGTGTGGGCCAAGGGGGAGGACATTAGTTCCCCCCCTTATTATAATTTAGGGCCCCCACCCACTGCTCAGGGGTGGGGGCCAGGGAGGAGGACATTAGGTCCCCCCATTCTGATTTAAGGCCCCCACCCGCCGCTCAGGGGTGGGGACCCGGGGGGAGGACAATAGGTCACCCCCCATTATTTTACATTGGAGCCCCCATCCGCCGCTCATTATGTTGGTAGTTTAACAATTATTATGATTTGTTTGATAAACTAAAAGACTTTGGAGCGAGCATATTTTTGCTTTGTTTTATTGTGTTTATTTGCTAAACAGGTAACTGGGTCCATATAAAACCAAATTTGCTAATATTAGCTGACTTGGCACTTGTTTGGTACTCAACACAGAGCTGTCAATTTTGGCAGGTATGATTTTAGAAGAGGGAGTGGCTGGGATGGAGCTGATTTGTGCTGCAGTCATCATTACAGATAATGTGTCCACCCCAAAAGGTGTGCAACATCCTGGCACTCATGTGCACCTGAAGGACATACAATATTGTAGTGCTCTGCTTGTGTATGGGCTGACATTGGCTTGAATTGTGCAAGAAGCATAGTGCCACTGCCAACACATTTAAACAAGTGCTTACACTGCTCTTTTCCCGGAGTCAGGAAGGCAGGTCTCATTTTAAGTTTTTACCAGTGTCACTGCTGACCCCAGCTTCCTTTATCCGAGGAAGCACTCACAAAATAGCAATATCACACTCTTAAGACTTTAATGGAATTTAAAAAAAAAAGAGAGAGATACGAAATTTTCTTGTAGTGCAGGTTTATTACACTATTACAAACAGGGCATGCCTACCATAATAAGCAGCAGTGATAGGATTTGTAGCTAAAACATCTCTGCTTCAAAAAGAGAAGGGGAAGAACAAACAAAAAAAAATAAACCATACCTCTCTTTTGCATTATTTCCTATGAAGAAGGTTTAGATGGACAGCATCAGCTAATGGACCCAGTGTATTTTTGGCCTTCCATCATGCATACTGCTGGATTGGCCAATGTCTACATTCTTCACACAGGGATGGTGAATGGAACAAAGCAAATGTTTAGTTCCTGGGAACCTGTTTAACCTATGGGTCCTAGGAGGCTGCCCAAGGTCACTGCTCTGAGAATATTTGTTAACATAATATAAATAAAAATAAGATGTGATTCATATCTGTTTATGCAGTGAGGGGGAAAGTATTTGATCCCCTGCTGCTTTTGAACGTTTGCCCACTGACAAAGAAATGATCAGTCTATAATTTTAATGATCAGTGTATTCGAACAGTGAGAGACAGAATAATAGGAAAAATAAATAAATAAATAATGCAGAAAAATGCACGTCAGAAAAGTTTTAAATTGATTTGCATGTCAATGAGTGAAATAAGTATTTGACCGCCTATCAATCAGCAAGATTTTTGGCTTCCAGGTGTCTTTTATACAGGTAACAAGCTGAGATTAGGAGCATTCTCTTAATGGGAGTGCTCCTAATCTCAGTTTGTTACCTGTATAAAAGACACCTGTCCACAGAAGCAATCAATTAGATTCCAAACTCTCCACCATGGCCAAGACCAAGGAGCTATCCAAGGATGTCAGGGACAAGATTTTAGACCTACACAATCCTAGAATGGGCTACAAGATCATCGCCAAGCAGCTTGGTGAGAAGGTGACAACAGCTGGTGCGATTATTCACACAAGGAAGAAACACAAACAACTGTCAGTCTCCCTTGGTCTGGTGTTCCCTGCAAGATTTCACCTTGTGGAGTTTCAATGATTATGAGAACGGTGAGGAATCAGCCAAGAACTACACAAGAGGATCTTGTTAATGATCTCAAAACAGCTGGGACCATAGTCCCCAAGAAAACAATTGGTAATACAATACGCCGTGAAGGACTGAAATCCTGCAGTGCCCGCAAAGTCCCCTGTTCAAGAAAGCACATGTACAGGCCCATCTAACGTTTGCCAATGAACATGTGAATGATTCAGAGGAGAACTGGGTAAAAGTGTTGTGGTCAGATGAGACCAAAATCTAGCTCTTTGGCATCAACTCAACTCACCGTGTTTGGAGGAGGAGAAATACTGCCTATGACACCAAGAACACCATCCCCACCGTCAAACATGGAGGTGGAAACATTATGCTTTGGGCGTGTATTTCTGCTAAGGGGAAAGGACAACTGCACCACATCAAAGGGACGATGGAAGTGGCCATGTACCGTCAAATCTTGGGTGAGAACCTCCTTCCCTCAGTCAGGACATTGAAAATGGGTCGTGAATGGGTATTCCAGCATGACAATGACCCAAAACACACAGCCAAGGCAACAAAGGAGTGGCTCAAGAAGAAGCACATTAAGGTCCTGAAGTGGCCTAGCCAATCTCTAGACCTTAATCCCACAGAAAATCTGTGGAGGGAGCTGAAAGTTCGAGTTGCCAAACATCAGCCTTAAAACCTTAAAGACTTGGAGAGGATCTGCAAAGAGGAGTAGGACAAACAGCCTCCTGAGATGTGTGCAAACCTGGTGGCCAACTGCAAGAAACGTCTGACCTCTGTGATTGCCAACAAGGGTTTTGCCACCAATTACTTAGTCGAAGAGGTCAAATACTTATTTCACTCATTGACATGCAAACCAATTTAAACTCTTTTGACATCCGTTTTTCTGGATTTTTTGTTGTTGTTATTCTGTCTCTCACTGTTAAAATACATCTACTATTAAAATTATAGACTGATCATTTCTTTGTCAGTGGGCAGAAGTTCAAAATCAGCAGGGAATCAAATACTTTTTTTCCCACACTGTATGTATGATCCTGGATATAAATTTTATCCCTTCACACTACTCGTGTACACATGATTGCCAGGGTATGCATACATCACCCCCCGAGTCATGCATGGCTGCAACACGTGTTTCAACATTGCAAAACATTTTTTGCTTCATACTAATGAATTTTGTTAGCAAAATGTATCCTTACTTGGCACTGGCAATATAAAAAGTGACATTGCATGCCGAGCTGTTATGGAGAGAGCTGCAGGGGGGCAAAGTATCCAGTAGCTGGCTGTGAAAGCCAGCAGAAGACAGAAGACACCCAGCAGGGGTGCTCTTTACACTCCCCCCCCCGCCCCCCCAGTGAAGAGAGTGCAGAAAGCTGTTTTCCCAGCAACAGCCAGGTAATATTTTGATTTTGCCATGTTGGGTAGCCCTGGGTTAAAGCAATGATAATATCACTAACTTAGAACTGGGAAATCTAAGGGGACATAAGTGTTTGAACACACATTCACACCCATACAGCCACAATCCAAAATCTCTCCCCCACAGTCACCACTCATAGAATCAATGTCACCCCCAATGTACACACAGTTACTCCCATATACTTACGGTCACCCGCTAGACACACACATTCACCCCCATACAGACACAGTCATGCACAACTCAGAGCCTTGTAAAATCAACCATGCAGACATCAACACCACAAATAGCCCCTCATGCACACAACCCATTGCATGTAGCTTCCAAACACACATATAGTCCTATATATAGAGATATATATTCACAGACACACGCAGAGACGTGCATTACAGACACACTCATGGATACACATACACACAAATATACACTCACAGGAACACACATACAAAAATATACATTGCCAGACACACTCTCTCAGGTACCCGCACTTTTACACAATGCCAGACACACCCATAGATACTCATGGATACACATACACACAAATATACACTCACATGAATATGCATGCAAAAATATACATTGCCAGACACACTCTCTCAGGTACCCGCACTTTTACACAACGCCAGACACACCCATAGATACTCATACACACTGCCAGACACACTCAAGCGGTATGTGTGTCAGTGTGGGCCTCTCTGTGTCAGTGTGTTTATGAGTATATGTGTGTGTAAAGAGGCAACATGGCTGCAATGTTATTATTAAATCAATATATGTGTGCTAATGTACACGTGAGAGAATATGTCTTGAAAAAATATTACATTCAGAAATGGTATTTATTTACAACACTGTTTTCTTCTTATTATTATTACTGGCATTTATAAAGCGCCAACAAATTACACAGCGCTTTACAATTGGGAAAAGACAAACACAATAAGAATAGACCGATACAACAGATAGAGGACCCTGCCCGTGAGCTTACAATTTAAACTGTAAACTTTTTTTTTTAAAGTCCAATCAAAATTTTAATTTCAAATTCCCTTAAATAATGTGTCTTCCATATTTGCTGAAACAAAAGTACTCTGATTCTGTTCACCTCTCCCCCTGCAAACTGCTTGGTGGTAAATGGGGTAATAAAAAGCAGCAGACCAGAAAACCTGATGGATCTTTATTTTTACACTAAAACACAATATAATATCTAGCAGTGTAGCTACATGTAGGGTTGCAATATCTACCATGTTTTTCTAGTTTTACAAGCGCTGCCCTGTAGCACAAAGCATCTAGGGTCAGGAGCGAAATCACCAATTAATCAAAGCAATTCCTTTGGGATCTCTTCTTTTATTAATTAATTGCTAATCCTCCTGCAGGACATGAGTCATACAGACTGCAGGGCAGCACTTTTCATTTGGCGCAAATAAGCATGTTCTGAAAAACTACAAGCTAATTTGTACATAAATGTACATTTGTACATCATGTCATGATTTAAACGTAGTCTTTTTTTATAATACAATATATTATTCATAATGAAAAATTCATTAAAACAATAAGCCAATATTTGGAATGAAGACACAATGAAAAAGGCAAGAGTGAGCTGGACGCCAATGACTTCATATAAGGATGTTATCTTTACATATAAATAAATGTTCTAATGCAGCAATAACCTCAGGGCAATAGCATCAGTTCCTGGTTTAAGTAACATGATCTTCACTTCTTTCCTGATTTATTGAACTTAGTAAATCTGAGCTTTGAACTGCAATTTCTACAAAGAATTCCTTTTAACTCAAAACACGTTGTCCTTTGTGTCCAGTTATAGACACATTTTCTACAAAATAATACTCGCTGACCCCATAGATTGAGACAACATAACTTTAGACATATCTGAACCAGGGTAGGTTTAGATTTTGCCAGTTCATACAGGAATCATACCATCCACAAGTATGTGCAGGTGTGGTCCAGAGTACAGGGAATAGTATCATATGGGGGGGACCAGAGGGCACTATAGTGTTAGGAATAAAAATGTATATTCCTAACACTCTAGTATCTTTTTAAGCTCCAGATAAAGATGTAGATCAAGCATACAGTGTCCACAATGGACATCTTTGCGGCCTGGCGAGCCGCAAGTACATGTTTGGTGTTAAAGCAGAGTAGGGACCTGCTTTCTCCACATTGCAGGTGCCCACTCTGCAAAAATTTACCTGGCCGGGGAGGGAGCTCAGTCTTCCTGCTCCTCACTGCTCCCTCGCACGCAAAATCCATTTGACACTCAGTCCTGGGAGCTGTAGTCCTTACAAGGACTTTCCCCGTTGAATTCCCTGCAAGCTGGAACAGCAGACACGTTGAATTCCGGCCAGGTAAATCTTCTTTCCCTCCAATAACAGGATGACACACAGTTTTGGAGTGTAAGCTGGAATAGATTTTAATGGTGCCACACTTGGCCTTATATGACAATCCCCATGCAATGGGTACGCCCATATGGACCTGATGGTGGACTAATTTGCAACTTCACAGACCAATAACAGTAAGGCTACAAGCACGACACTTCCACACACAGCACACAATCCCTCCCCTCTGTCTGGGAGATAATTGGATCAGTAACTGTACTAATTCTAATCCAATTATTTCCAAGCACAGAAAAAACATACTTTTTAAAAACACCCCAAAAGTACCCCAAAACACATAGCATCCTCACAAATGTCACATCCCCTGATGGCCCTGATCTGGGTGACCAACATATACAAAAATTGCCAAGATCAGTTCAGGGGTTCAGGAATTCTATGGAAGTCATTTATTTGACCGACCACAGGCATGGTCCCATGCCCAAAACAGTTCCAGAGAATCAGGGCTTGCGGTCGGTCTAGTTCGGTAGTTGATGAACAAACTATTGAATAAAGTCAATAGTCTTATCCTGGAGCTTGTCCCCCTCATCCAGACAAATGATCTCACCGAACAGTGCCCTTCTAAGTTGAATTGAATCGAACACAGGCAATGATGGAAGTCCAGCGGTGTTCAGGAGTTTCTGTATCCAATTTTAGTTCCATGAGATTCATGCTCAAACACCGCTGCCTGCGTTCATGCGAACAAGATGGCTGCCAGCTCGTGGTTGTTCATAGGAATTGCGGCCACCCAGATGAACAATTAGAACACTGCAGTGAGAAACGTTCTAAGTTGTTAATAGGTCTTAACAAGCTCCAGGGTGATCTCTGGTTCATGCGGTGCGAACAGAGACTATTACATTACTTTTCACAGGGTCCATAGTTTGTGGGCAGGAGGCTGGCAAGCAGGTTCCTCCAGGAGCTCTTGGCAAACTCAGGTAAAAAGGGGGGTTTGTCACAGTGGCCATCTTAATCAAATCTGAACTTAACTGTTAGTTGTCCCACCCACCCTCCCTTTATTTTTGGTTGGCTCATAAGGGTTAGTGTTCCTTGTTTCTTCACAGCAGTGGGGAATGGCAAGGTAAATTGGGAGCTACCTGGAGTAGGAAGGGGGGCATGGATAGGTTTAAGGTGATTTAGGCAGGAGTTTACCTTGTTGGTAGGTTCTAGCTCTTTGGTGGCTATGAACCTGGTGGCGGAGTTTACGTGGTTAGTAGGTTCAAGCTCCTTCGTGGCTCTGAACCTAGTGGAGTAGGGGTGTCTTGGTACACCTCTGCAGTTTATTATTGGAAATGGGGTTGTATGGATGGCCGTGTTATGTTTATATGTTATGTGTTATATATATTGTTATATCATGTTTATGGTTGGGTCATTGCCAGGGGAGACTATGTATGGGGGGGATTATGGTTTTAATATGCCATGATGGTTCTTGGCAATGACCCTAATTGTTATAATTATGATTACATATTTAATAAAGCTGTGGACAAATAATTCCAACAGTATAAATTGGTGTCTGTGGTTTATTGGGGTTTGGTTAATGGCTAATAACATGCCGTGATACGACGGTGCGCATGTCCGTAATCATAGGAGCACATATACAGTGATACAGCTGGTGTAATCCGTGGTATGTGCAATAATGTTTGTCACAGCGCAATCAGCCCTAACGAATGTATAGAAAAGTTACCCAGAGTGCATCAGTAATGTGAATAATGTAAAAAGAAGAATACCTCAGATCATGCTCAAATGAGGGATGAGGGAGAAGAAAAACTAATCGAGTGTCCCTTGGTGTTCAGTCTCTATACCCCTTCAGCTGCAGTTTTAGTCCTGATTTCACACCTCCCATTGATCACTTATTAAAATTATAGGGCATTTTGTTTTGGAATGTTGACATCTACAAGTCAGAACTGAGTCTAGTGGGATATTTAACTAGTGTTCAACTAAAGCTTCTAAGGAGGTGGACATCTACTTCACATTCTTCACTTCAGAACCTTATAATGGTTCAATGGTGTTTAGATCTAGTGACTGAAGAGAACTTCACTACATATTGGTGTTACAGAAACCACTTTTTGTCAGTACTTATCAACTTAGAATACACAGAGAGCTGAGTTCTGAAAGAGTGCACCTGGTCCAGTAACATGAGCCCATAAGTCTTGGCTGTTAATTGACCATGCTGAGCAATCATGTCATCTAATGACTCCCATGAGATGGCTGCCATGCAAAATCCCTCACCATGCTTAATAGTAAACAAAAAATATATATTCCCATGCAAATTGTTGGGAATTCTAAGTGAACTCAGAATTTTAGCTAAAAATAGCAAAATTGGAATAAGTCAGCTATGCTTCTAGTTAGGCTATTTTTACATAAAATTTTACATACTTTTTGAACTCCTGACAAGTCACACTTTAATAAATAGCCCCAAAAGTTGTCCTTTTACTTTCTCCAAATATGAGCCCAACTGGAACATAATGTGAAAGACGATTATATTAAATAAATGTTTATTTAGTTGTTTTTTTCTTATTTTATAAAGAATTACAAAGAAGAAACCATGACAGGTCCATGCATAAGGATGGTAGGTACAAAAATATAATAGATCTATTACAAAATATATGACAGGTTACAATATACATGAATGCCTCATACGTTTGATATCAACCGTGCCAGAAATACACAGTGTCAGTGCCTAATCCACTACTCCCATTTCAATCGTTATGCCATGTATATCATAAAGAGAAGTCCATGGTAAGAGTAGTGTGAGCAATCATAAAATAGGACATGATGAAAAGAGAGAATTAGAAAAGAAAAGGGATGGGGAGTGGAAATGTTAGAAAGAGTTAACGATAGAGCCGGCACCCTAACCTCCTGACCGAATGGCTTCCCAAGAGACTCCCCATCCACCATATGACTCCCATATGACCGGATATCCAGAGAGGACAGAAACTCCAGCCAATAAAACCAGTGTTTCCCATAGTCCTCTTGTCTTGGTATCATCTCCATTACATCCTATTGTCTTGTCTACTTGACCATAGCTGATAGTTGATTTATTAAATAACATTATTTGTATGGATGATCAAAAGTCCATGAAGCACCATGAGAAAAAGACGTTTGTCAGCTTGGAAATGAATAGATGTAAGTGTGCAAAGATAGGCGCTTTGAAAATTTGATCCACTAAATTATAATAATATAGCAGCTACCACGTAA